ATATATAAGTTTTATCACGTAAAAAATAAACCTTTGCATTTCATAGATAAATGGAGTTTAAAAGAAATATTTCAGTGACATGGTCGCAAATCAAGATTAAAGCGGCACGCGGGTTGTTTTAACGTTGTACCGCTGCAAAGACGCGATTTTGTCCTTCATTCTTTGTTTCTTCTTTTTTTTAAAGATGCAAAGAAAACTTTTATCTTTTAATCCATTCATTTATGTTTTTATTTATTCTTTTGGCGCTACAGCAAAAACTTTCAAGGCCTCAGGAATATGAATAGAACGCGCCCTAAGTATCAAAAAGTGGCATAATAATAATAATGATAATAATAATAATAATGATGATAATAATAATAATGATAATAATAACTTTCAGAAACGTTGTTGGCTTACCCAACATTTTGCTGAGCTCTGCATTGTGCAGGTCCGGGTTCTGGACCGCCAGCCGTTTGCGCTCGTCTTTGGCCCAGACCATGAACGCGTTCATGGGCCGTCGGATGCGCGGTTCCGGCGTCTTGTCCACGGGAGTCCTGTGGGGGCCGTGTCCGTCGGGCACGTCTCCGTCTCCTGGAGGACACTCGAAGGACTCGGGCCACGACGAGTACGCGCTGATGAGAGCAGCCATCCTCCGCGCGCTCCCTCCTCTCCAAACTTAAGACGCGCGTCTGAGAGTCTCACCGCGACAAGTTGCGCTCTTTTCTCTCTCTGGATCTGTTTGACTAAAACGATGAGAAACTAAAACAGACTCTTGCTTTTAAAACGAGAAAATAAAAAAAATCCAGCGGTGCTTTCTGCCTACAGTTGGGATATCAGCACAGATTGACGCGCACATGCGGCTCCTCCTCACGCGTTATGGTTCTGTCTCTCCCGCTGGATGGGGGGGAAGCGCTTTATATTTGAGGAGCAGGTTCCAGGAGACACCCTGGAGGACTCTGGACTCCTCCTTGATTACAAGTTAAACCCCGTGGAAAGCGAAGGAGAGAGAGAGAGAGAGCAACATTTCATCACAAGCTTCGTGGAGTGGCCTCACAACTAAACTTTCCTCCAGCTCTAAGGACAACCTCATTATGTGTGTTAGGTTGCTGGAAGAAAAAAGCTAAATAATCTTAAAAAACACTCATAGGACAGATTATTTTCAAGCAGAAAATCATTTTTAAACACTTGATTATGACAGATATTTTGCAACTTCCGATTTTTTTTTTTCTTTCTTAAGAGAAAACAAGGAAACCATTGCACTATGACGAACCCAACAAACCAGTTTGGCAGTCTGTACAACACCCAGAAAAGTTCACTGGTTGAGTGACATTTTGACTGTTAGTTGAACTTCAAGTGCCAGTTTGTGTGCCAAGCAAAACATCATTTTCTCTTCGGTTGGCAGAGTTTTGTTGCTTTGTGTAGTTTGGGGGTCCACCTTTCAACTGCATGCACAACAAAGAATCAAAACATGTTCATTTGTTATCAGTTTGGACAGAGATTGGTTTCTGGAGCTTCTGCTGGACCAAAAAAAAAAATGCACTGAACAGGCACACCCACACACAGAGACTGCAAACTAATCAGTTTCCTTCTGTGGCCAAAAGCGGGTGCATATCAAGTCCAGGAGTTCCTGTTGACAGGATCCTCGCAGGCTGCAGTCATGGAGGAGCTCCCCCCCCCCCCCCCCCCCCCCCCCGGGCCGCCCTGCCAAGGCCCCCCCCCCCCCCCCCCCCACACACACACACACACCCACATGCTCCTCAAATACAGCTGATCACAGGTCAGGAGCTTATCATTGATATTTAGAAGACACAAACGTGGCAACATGTTGAAGAAGTATTAATTGTTAGTTTGCACGGAGCTTAAAACACATCTTGTTGTACCTCTGTCAACGTGACATCGAGCTCTCACCCCTCCTCCCAAACAGGAAGAGGATATGGCACCTGAAGCCACAGATTGTGCATGGTGCAGGCCCATCAGTGATATATAGGGCTGCACTTCCTCATGCTGTTCTGACATGACCATGTGTGAACAGTGAAAGTCAGAGAGAGGTGCAGTGATGGAAAGATCAGGTACGGTGCAGTTAATCGCATGATTTGAGAGACCTAAATTTCACAAACTGAAATGGGGAAATGGAAAAATTTAGAGCAGATGGCAGAAAATATCTTTTTTTAAGCTGTAAAAACCATTAGTGATGTTAGTGGGTGAGGCTTGAAATCCAACATTTTTATCAAAGTCTTTCAAAGTAAAGTCAGGTCCTCTGGATGGATTAAAAGAAAACAACTTGTTGAAACGTTTCATCTTTTATGCAAAACACTGTCAGTCTGAGGAGATGCACAGAACTCAGTCCTATAAATAGCCCCTTCTCATAGTGGATCAACCAGTTTGCTGGTGACAACCAAAACTAGCTGTTCACATATGATAAAGGAGGACCATCAGCCTAACGACTGATCGTTAGTGCCTTAGCAATAACAGCATTGTAAGAAGGTGACAAGTAAACATGGAGGCCTCCACCCCTGTTTAATGATGGATGGTTTCTTTTCACAAAGATGGCCTCCTTTACTCCTCTCTCAAACCATCGTTCCTCTCTGTCCAGGATGTGAACATCTTCATCCCTGAAAGAGTGACCGCTGGCCTGGAGATGAGTGTAGACCGCAGAATCCTGGTCTGATGATGTTGATCTTCTGTGCTGGGCCATCCTTTTGGTCAGTGGCTGTTTAGTTTCCACGATGTAAGACTGATCACAGCCCTCCTGACACTGAACAGCATACACAACATTACTGTTTGTGCCGGGGGACTGGATCTTTGGGATGAACCAGTCTTTGCCGTAATGTATTTTGGGGTTTAAAAGCCACTGGGACGTTATGTTTAAAAAAAATAAACGTCTCAGTTTCTCTGATACTCCCTCAATATACAATGTACACCAACTGCTGCACCTCAAGCCACGACTCTGTGAAACTTATTAAGTTTGCAGATAACGCCACCCTCATCGGGCTCATCTCAGACGGTGATGAGTCTGCATACAGGAGGGAGGTGGACCGGCTGGTGACCTGGTGCAGCAGCAACAACCTGGAACTCAATGCCCGGAAGACAGTGGAGATGATTGTGGATTTCAGAAAAGCCACAGCCCCTCTGCCCCCCCTCACATGTAATGATACCTCCATCCCCACTGCGAATTTGTATCGGTTCCTCGGCACCACCATCACCCAGGACCTCAAGTGGGAGCCGACCATCAGCTCCCTCATCAAGAAGGCCCAGCAGAGACTGTACTTCCTGCGACAGCCGAAGAAGGCCAAGCTGACGGTGCAGTTCTACACGGCCATCATCGAGTCCACCCTCAGCTCCTCCATCATGGTGTAGTACGCCGGGGCCACTGCCAGGGACAGACTCAGACTGCAGCGCGTTGTGCGCTCAGCTGAGAAGGTGATCGGCTGCAGCCTTCCATCCCTCCACGACCTGTACGTCTCCAGGACTGTGAGGCGAGCAGGTCGGATCACAGCTGACCCTGCTCACCCTGCACACGGACTGTTTGAACCACTCCCCTCAGGCAGGAGGCTTCGGTCCATTCGGACCAGAACCTCTCGCCATAAGGACAGTTTCTTCCCCTCTGCTGTTGGACTCCTGAACACTCATAATGCTACCTCATAACTTCTGCTTTGGTCACATTACATCTGTATTATAATTGAATACTCCATCTGTACTGTTTTTCTAAGCTTTTTTATTGTTTTCTATTGTATGGGTGTACATATGGTTATGTTATGTTTTCATTTTTACTTTATTTGTGGGTGTACACAGGTCTTATGTAATGTTTTCATTTTTACTTTATTTTACTTTATTACTATTCGCACCTTTATGTCAAAGCAAATTCCTAGTTTGTGAACCTCGTTCATTGACATGGCAATAATAAACTGATTCTGATATATGGAATGACCACTGGTCTAGGTTCCTCCTTTTCACCTGATGGCTGACTGGAGTCCTGTTTGGGTTTCTTCTCTGCTTATACATATGTATATATATATATATATATATATATATATATAATTGATTTTTCTACAAAACAATGTCCTCTTCTGTTTTTGAGAGTGAGTAAGCTGCCACGTGACCATTTAGTTTTTGGTGTAGTTGTCTCAGCATCTCCGAAATGGTAGCAATTCTAATACAGACCAGTACCTGGTGTACAGTATTATGTATTGCTACCAAACATACATGTATTTATGGTACTTACCTGGTATGCATTAGGTTAAGTGCCAGATTAGGTTAAGTACCAGGTACATCCCTGGCACATAGCCTATGACTGAAGGGTAACAACTTCATAATTTCACATATGTACCCAGTGTCACAGGCCAAATTAACCACTGCCCAGATTAAATGTAAGTATAGTTTGACCCAGGCCCGAGAATACCCCAGGGGATAAACTGCCCTAGGCCAAACTATATGTAAATAAATAATCTAAGTCAGACTGTACCCCTCCTGGCCAGAATATACCCATCTAACATGGGTAGTCAATCACAATTGTCTTGTTAATTAATGTGTATCAACAGAGTCATGAACTGTGACTTAATTTTAAGCGTAAACTGGAGTTTTCAATTCATTGTAAAGACATGAAACATTGCTATATTTTGTTATAAAACCATCACAAACCGAGGATATTTGCCCCGTTTAACTGAATCAGGGATTCAAAATGGTGTCCACCGGCCAACAACGCAAGCAGGGGAGTAGAGTTTGCTGGGACAATGAGAGATGGGCAATTTTCTTTATTTTATGGGATTTCTATATACTTTTGATAATATTTAAACTATTTTAGGAGCTCAGGACTGATCAAGTCTCTTTAGTGTAGCAATTCAATTCAGTTTATTTATATAGCTCCAAGTCACAATAAACGTTATCTCGGGGCACTGAACAAATACATTCATATACATAAAAGATCAGTTAGTAACTTTATTTATCTAAGCAGGGTAGGGTAACACTGTAGTAACTTTTAGGTATTACCAAAAAAGTCAATGCTCACCATCTTAGCACCAACATTACTGGTTTGTTCCACTTTGGAGTAAGCTGTTTGGGGGAAGAATCAGTTTTGTGTTGTGTGTTGCCTTGACTGATGAAGCCTTCCGGATGAAAGGTGAAACGTTTCAGAAAAAAAGAAACTGTCCAGATGACCTGACTGAAAATTGTTTTAGGTATTACATTATTCTTATGTTTATGACTTGACACTACTAATAACATTGGAGGGGGGTGGGAGGGGGTGGGGGAGAGAATCTGGCCAGAGGGTATGACATGATGTAGGCCATGCATAGTATGGTGTATAATTAAGCCTACACCCCTTATCCCAGGTATAGACTGGACTGGGGATATACCAAGTCTTTAAGTACAGAGTAACAAATTACTTCAAAATAAAGCACAGTCTGAATAGTAAAGGTAGTACTGAACTTTATTACAAGTAGAATTACAACTCTTAACCTGTGCAAGAACTAGTTTTAGTTTTTTGTTTTTTTTAATAGGACATACATTCACTTAAAGGAATTGGTCTTATAAAATGTAAAAAAAAAAAAATATTTTATGTACAGTATATTGATAAACATTTTGAGAACATGAAATAGTTTGTGGTACTTATTCCAACTAAAGTAAAATGAGTTGTTGCAAATGAAGAAAATTCAGGTAACAATTTGCATAAACTTTTCTGAGACTATCTATAGCAACAAATTAAGTTGAAATAGTGAAGTTATTTGACTAAATTAAACATTTTGATTTAAAGTAAAGTTGGTTCAATGCAACTGGGCTTTTAGAAGTAAAACAGAATCATGTTGGTTGTAACTAACAGATTAGGTTACTAAAACCAACAGTCTCACAACGTTTACTCATTAGTCGAGTTAGGTTGATTTGAAAAGACAGGAAAATTGCTGCAAGTTGAGCCACTGCATTTTTCTTCGAGTGTGGGAGTTTACTGTCATTTACTTTCAGAAAAAAAAAAAAACTTTCCTGGGTCAGATAATGTGGTTAACAGTCTACAGGTGTTTGGAAGAATGTAGCCGCTAAAACAACTTTTTTTTTTTTTAAAGTCAATATTTGCTTATGAATAACAAAGATCTATTACTCTTTTCTGGCTTTTACTGTCACTCCTAAATTTAAGAACCAGAATAAATAATAAAATAAAAAAATAAATAAATACTGACAACAAACTCATTCCGTATCGTTTGATTAATTAGTTCCTCAAACAATTTATATAAAGTGCAAAATAGAACTCGTGCGCCCGTTTATTTTCGAGCTTGCATGCATGGTCTGACATAACTTGTAAACAATATTTTTAAAATACAAATAATTTTACCTCAGAAATGAAGATAAAACATTTAAGCTGTAATTCATGCTGTGGGGGCTTCTTTACGTATATATAAAAGACAACGTCAGATTATATAGCATGTCAGAATTTAATTACTGTATTCTGGATTAGAAAATTTGGTTTGAGTAAAAAGGCAGTAACCCGATGCTCACATCAAGCTCCATTGAATAATAGCCAAGAAAAAAAAAAAATCTTATTATGAATCTATTTGAAAAGAAACCAGAAAAATACCTCTATCTCAACTCCTATAAACTTAACACGGCTAAGTAGAGGCTGCAGGAAGTACCAGAATACTGACTAAAGAGGCTAACTGATAGATGGGAGAAATAAAATAAAATATATAAATCAGCAAAATGTTTGTGTAAAGGTGCCAATAATGGTTAAATGAGCTGTTTCAACTTTATTAAAGCATGATGTTTTTGTTCAGTATTGCCTGCTTATCAACAGCAGACAATAATATCTGGGCCCATCTGTTACCAAAATAAAGGTACCACTTTACAATACTTTATAGATGGCTAATAAATAGTTATACATTATTAATTTTTCTATAAACACTTTATAAATCATTAATAATTGTTTATTATGCATTAAGGGTGACAGACAAAACTGAGCAGTTTCTTGCCAAATTGTGAGTCAAATCTGCGACCTATATATTTCATCTAGAGTTGTTACATTAAACATTTCAGACTAAGTTACAACCTTGTAAGCACAATAAACATTTGTAAACCTAAATTTTTAGGATATATTATTTGTAGATACTTATAATGCAGTGATAAATACAATATTATACGCTAAAAAATTATAGGTTTACAAATGCTTATTGAGCTTACAAGGTAGTAACTTAGTCTGAAATATTTAATATAACTCTAGATGAAATATACTGGTGAAAAGATTTGACTCACTGTTTGGCAAGAAACTGGTCATTTAGTTTGTCACCCTTAATTAATTCATAATATGCAGTTATTAATATTTATAAAGTGTTAATTGAGGAATTAACATATCTATAAACTATTTATTAGTCATCTATAAGGGGAGCCTTAGTGTAAAGTGGTACCAAAATCAATTATTAATAGCAGGACAAATAATACAATTCTCTAGAAGTAATCACTAGATGCACAGCTTTTGTCACTAACCCAGTACATCATGGCTGCCACAGACATCCAACTTCACAACAAAAATAGCTTTAACCCAGTTGGTTTTACAGATAGTTAAAATTTCATGTGGTAGTAGCTGAGAATGATACTGAACACAAACTTTCGAGTGCTACACATTTTGCAAAGCCTTTTACTAAAAAATTGGCAGTAACTGTTTGAGCAAACATCAAAGTTCATGCTCAATAATCCAGGTAAAAAAATCCAAGTTAAGTCAGGTCCTCTGGATGATTATTTTTGTTGAAATGTTTTGTCTTTCATCCAAAGGACTTCAACAGTCCAAGGAGCCACAACAAACTCAGTCTTAAATCACTGTTACATAGTGGGTGAACCAGTTGAGCATGAACTTTGATGTTTTGAACCATTTTGGCCATGGCTGCCTCAAACGAGTTGGCGGGAGAAAGGGCGGACAACAGAAACTATCTCAGCACCGTCAAACTGGTTGACCCACAATGTGAGGTGCCATTTATAAGACTGAGTTTGTTGTGGCTTCTTGGACTGATGAAGTCCTTTGGATGTAGGATGAAACATTTCAGAAAAAAATTAAAAGAAATGTCTAGAGGACCTGATTTAACTGTTGGATGTTTGAGTCAACAGTTTGACATTAAAAAAACACTCATGGACGAACACGAATGAAACGCTAAAAACTATTTTTTGTAGAGGTGGATGCCTAAAAGATTAGTCAAACTTTTCTTTTGCAAATAACCGTTTCAGAATATGTCAAAAGGTTTCAACCCTTAAGAGCAAAAAGGTGTGCTCCAGTGTTTTCATGTGCAGGACTGGACACCTGCAGTCAATCTTTTCCTCCTTTGACTCATAGCAGAGGGGTTGAACAAGACGGGCTTGTTAAAGGGTTTCTAAAGTTTAAGAAACCGTGACATCTTGATGAGGTGGAAAATTGTGACTGTCAAGAATGCCGTCCTGTGATTGGTTGGTACAAATTTACCTTTACAGCTGAACAACTTGCATCATGTTTCCACTGTTAGAGTGAATTTATTTTCCTTCTCGCAAAAGTCAAAAATGTTCCTCACATTAGGCAACATTTACGTCTGAGACAAAAATAAAACAGTCAAACTTGCAAGACTTTAGATTTATTTAAAAATGAGTACAGGTTTATCCGTTTTTCTGACTTTCCAAAGATCATAATTGTCAAGATTTAGCTCATATTCAGATTTAAAGTCTTAAATAGATCATGTAGCATGAGACCATTTTCTTTTTTAAACTGATTAAAGAAAAAATACATGAACTGTGAAGGATCTCAAAGAGATAAAATATGGGGTTAATTTCATTTGAATATTTCTAATGAACAGCTTTATAGTCGTGTTCATAGTCAAGACATTTGAATTGCAAAATAAGTTTTTAAAAAGTGAGACAAATCAATCTTAACCCTGAGATTCATGTTACTCTTAATGGTTCTTCTTTCTTTTCTTCTTTTTAGATTTCTTGACGACCGGCTCATTACATTCTTCTTCTACATCGACCTCTTTGTGGTTATTCTTCTCATCCTGTATGAGCTCACATTCTACAGTTTTATCATGTCCATTTAAAAGCTCTCCTTTCTTGGCACGCTTTTTGAGTTTTTTATTCTTTGAAGAACACAGTTCTTGACATTTCTCCTCCAGAACAAAGCTACAGTTCTCGTTTGCATTACTGTCAAGATCTGTAAGTTTTCTCTTCTTCCTTGATTTCTCTTTGTCCATGTTTGTGTCATCTACTACGATGAGGGCAGCGGACTCATCTTCTACCACTTCCACAAGCTTTTTGTTCTTCTTCTTCTTTTTCTTTTTAGGTTCTTCTGCATGACCACTGCCGCTGTTGACCAGACTGAGTTCTTGAGTTGGGTCATCCGCTGAAGGTGCTGTAGTTTCAGCTCCACGAGATTTCTTCAGCTGGGCCATTCGCTGTGCAAAATACTCCTGCATGCTCAGAGAACTGGTCACAGTCTTGGTGATGAGCTCTGCGTCCTGTTCGGGAGGAGTCGTCCCACTCGCCTCCGACTCATCTGAAGAATTATGTTTGCTGCTCTCCTAAACCGGAAAGACACAAAAACACAGAGTTTAGGCTTTGTGGCGCATTTAGAGAATCTGACAAAGACAGCTCAACAATTGTAAACCAAGGAGCTTAAATAGTTGTCAATCACCAGCCAAAGATTACTGCAACAGTCTTTATGGAGGAAAAAGCCTAAAATAGTGAGTTGATGCAACAATAGGTGTCTTAAAGGAGGCACCGTCATCAAAACTGTCACGTTTCTGACAATTACCATCCTTTATCTACAACACTTTACATTTAGACAGGTTTGTTTGCACAGTCAGCTCCAAAGTGTCTTCCTCTTGTAATGTTCTTCGCCATTAAAGTAAGCTGAATCTTGACTTTCATACAAAAATAAAAAATAAATCCAGTACTTCTGTCAGCATACTTCTACTGACAGAAAATAAAATCCATTAAAACCAATCCATCTCCAACACTTAGCGATTTTTTTGGGAGACCCATTTCTTCTCTTTCATACACTGCCTAACTAAAAAAAAAGTTGCCACCTGGATTTAACTAAGCAAATAGGTATGCACATCCTATTGGATAATTACTGCATGGACGATTATCTTTCAGCTGGTAACAAGTTATTTAACCCCAACTAGTGCAATGAGTTGCTTCTCATTTCTTAAACAACCATGTAGAAAGACACGTTGTGTGGTTGTGGAAAATATGTCAGTTTGTTTGAGAAGGGTCAAATCATTGGCATCAAGCAGAGAAAACATGTAAGGAGATTGTAGAAACTACTAAAATTGGGTTAAGAACTGTCCATCACATTACTAAAAACTGGAAGCATAGTGGGGGACCCATCGTCTTTGAGGAAGAAATGTGGTCGGAAAAAAATCCTGAATGATTGTTATTGGCAATCACTTCAACGTTTGGTGAAATCAAATCGAAGACAAACAACAGTAGCACTCAGGGTTATGTTTAATAGTGAAAGCAAGAGCATTTCCACACACATAGGGAACTCAAGAGATTGGGACTGAACAGCTGTGTAGCCTTAAGAAAACCACTAATCAGTGAGACTAACTGGGGGGAAAAAGGTTTCAGTTTGCTAAGAAGCATAAAGATTGGACTCTGGAGCAATGGAAGAAGGTCATGTGGTCTGATGAGTCCAGATTTACCCTGGTCCAGAGTGATGGGTGCATCAGGGTAAGAAGAGAGGCAGGTGAAGTGATGCACCCATCATGTCTAGTGCTACTGTACAAGCCTGTGGGGGCAGCACTATGATCTGGGGTTGCTGCAGTTGGTCAGGTCTAGGTTCAGCAACAGTATGTGCTCAAAGAATGAGGTCAGCTGACCACCTGAATATACTGAATGACCAGGTTATTCTATCAATTGATTGTTTTCTTCCCTGATGGTACGGGCATATTCCAAGATGACAATGCCAGGATTCATCGGGCTCAAATTGTGAAAGTGTGGTTCTGGGAGAATGATACATCATTTTCACACATGGATTGGCCACCAGAGTCCAGACCTTAACTCCATTGAGAATCTTTGGGATGTGTTGGAGAAGGATTTGTGCAGTGGTCAGAATCTGCCATCATCAATGCAAGATCTTGATGAAAGATTAATGCAACACTGGATGGAAATAGATCTTGTGACATTGCAGCTTATCGAAACAATGCCACAGTGAATACATGCCTTAATCAAAGCTAAACGCGGTCCAACGAAATATTAAGTGTGTGACCTTTATCTTTGGTGGGAACATTTTTTTGGCCAGGCAGTGTACTATACAGTTCAGTGAAGAGGTGCAGAGTAGGGCTGAAATGGGGCAAAACAAATCTGAGTTCTTATAAATACCACTAAGACAAACACCTTTTAGTGAAAATGTGTTGTTTCTTCACTCACACAGAACATTAACTTGAATTGCTGACTTAGATTTAGCGGTGCACCGATAAATCGGACAATTTCCTTAATTTTGGGTGATCGGCGATTGGCCGATACATGAGAAACAGATTTTACAGATTTTTTTTGTAGTTTTAAGAACAATTGTCTAAACTTCCTTTACATTTCAGAGCACTACCTCACGGCTAATTAAAACAAGTTTGTATTGTTTCTAAGATATTGTTCAAGGGTATGTTTGTCAATAAAATAAGATTGGAAAATTGAAGATGCATTGTGACCTTTTAACACCTGACAGTGTCGCTTAAAAACGAAATCGGTATCGGCAGGTCAGGATTTTTAGAGATCGGTAATTGGCCAGAAAACTGCAATCGGTGCACCCTTACTTAATATACTAAAACATGCACGTAAGATGAACTGACAATTCTAAATGGTCTCCAGTAAGTGCACGTTTTAGTATATTAAGTAGGGGCGCACCGATTGCAGTTTTCTGGCCAATAACCGATCTCTAAAAATCCTGACCTGCCGATACCGATTTTGTTTTATAAGCGACACTGTCATGTGTTAAAAGGTCACAATGCATCTTCAATTTTCCAATCTTATTTTATTGATAAACATACCCTTGAACAATATCCTAGAAACAATACAAACTTGTTTTAACTGGCCATGAGATAGCGCTCTGAAATATAAATGAAGTTTAGACAATTGTTGTTAAAACTACAAAAAAAAAAAAGAAGGTAAAATCTGTTTCTCGTGTATCGCCTGATCGCATCACCCAAAATTAAGGAAATTGGGGCCAATTTATCGGTGCACCCCTAGTGGTCCGTCTCGTTTGTCTCTCTGTGTCCCTGTGATGGACTGGTGACCAGTCCAGTGTACTCCTCTGTAGCACCCCAGTGACTGCTGGAGATGGACACCAGCTGAAGGAGCGAGTGGGTTAAAGAAAATGGATAGACAATGCATCAGCTTCAAAATTAATCAAAATAAATATTGCTTTGGAAAAAAAAAAAAAGTCAGGAGGATATTTCTACATTAATAGTAATAATTTTAGGCTTGAAAGTAGATCAAAGAATGGCGTTTTCCATTTTAAAATCCAGGACAAAATAAAGAGATCATAAAGTCATCTCTCCAACCTTTGGGCTACACTTTAAACCGGGCCAACTTTACAACTGTTAGGAACAGCACGGTCTAGATTTTACCTCCACAGCATGTACAATCTGTCACCTCGCCCCTGTGACCCATTTGTCTTCATTTTCCTAATGGCCTACTCAATGCATAATGATTTGTCCAGAAGAATGCAGAAGCTCCTCTAGAGAATCACACTAAACAATGCTGCCGCTCGGTGAATTATCTCAGATGGTAAAGTGGATGGAATTTTTCAAACACTACAGATTAGAGATAAATTGAAAACACTGAGCTTTGTGGAGTTGTCTCATTGTTCGGCCTTTAAACTTTTACATTCAGATTACATGACTTTGAGCCTCGGCATTAAATCACATAAACAAGAATCTACCCGTGTTAAGCAAAAAAGATGTAAAAAAAAAAAAAAAAAAAGGTACAGCTTCTGTAGATTTTCTATACTTTTAACTTGGTTACCTTTTGATTTTTAAAATAAATTTCATCATTTGTGAAATAAAAAGTTTCAATAGTAAAATTACACAAAAACAAAGATTGTAGTAGTGAAAAATGGTTCCTTTAAAAAATGATCTACAATTCAGGGTTTTTACACAGTATGCAATGTCAAAGCTTTATAAATTAAGACTTAATGTTACTTTTGATGTACAAACATTTAATGTAAAAGTTTGTTATAAATGCTAATAAATACCATGTTACCGGTAGTTATAGTTTTTACACACAGCACAAATTTAAAAAGTCAGATTGAGAGATTTTTTTTAAGATTTTTTTTTTGTTCAGAGAAACTAGAAGAAAAAATAATGTCTTCATACTTTAGACCTAGTAAATTTAAAAAATGTATTCTATAAAGAAAATTCTAAACACCAAAGTTCATGCTCAATAATCCAGGTAAAAAAATCAAGTCTTTTTTTTTACCTGGATTATTGAGCATGAACTTTGATGTTTAGAACCACTTTGGCCATGGCTGCCTCAGAGGAGTCGACTGTGGAGAGTGCATACTCCAGAAAACATCAAACTGCTTGGCCCATATGTGAGTGTGCTACTTACAGGAGATAGACTTAGAGCCTTTGTTGTGGCTCCTCAAATGATGAAGTCCTTTGGTTGAAAGACGAAACGTTTCAACACAAAGAAACCGTCCAGAGGACCTGACTTAACTTTGTTGGAAAATTCTAAATACTAATTTTATACCGTGTCATACTTTGACTGAATAAAAGTTTATCGGTGTGAAGAAGTTAGCAATAAACAATGTTAAATGGAGGCTGTTCCTAATCTAACTCATTTTAAAGTATCAAATATTAAGGGGGTGGGGATAGATTTAGGCCATGTAGACACCAGAGTAAAGAAAATCTGTTTGGACAAAATTGTAAGAATATCTTTGGTTGAGAGCTTGAATTTGTGGTTGTTTGGTGTGACAGGCTCACTGACATTCTGCCACAGCTAAACATGTCCTATGATAAATATCTGTGTTAGAAAGTCTCTGCAAGTATTGTGATACAATATTGTGTGGCAGGCGTCTTCCTCAGCCATGACCGCATTCACAGCTTACTTTGTCCCCCTCTTTGGTCTGAATTCAATAAGAATGTTGATACACTCGCTTTTCATTCTTTCATTGTTGGAGTGATAGCTCATTCAGATGCTATTTTGTGTCATTATTCTGCTGCTACTGCATTAAAAAAATATTGTACAGCATCCATTAAATCTTATGACATAAGTTACAATCGAGGCTTTATAATATCAAGCTCACATGCTCACGTCTTTCAGGGTTTTAAAAAAATATATTGCAGTGTATACCAGACTTTAGAGGCTAAACAAAGTTTTCCACCATTTAAGATCTAGACTAGACAACCAGAACTTCTAACAAGAGGAATATAAAGCCCTTCAGGTGAGGTGCCATTAAACAAAACTTTCCAGCTTCCCACTAAAAATCTATACTCCCTGTTACTGCACAATGGCATCCTCTCTGCTTGGGAGAGTGAAGATGAGGCTTAGAGCTGACAGCACCAAACAACATGTAACTGGG